TTAAAGCCGCATTCAGTAGCTGAAAACCGCAGTGTTTAAGCGCTTTAAAGCACTTAACTACAGTGTAAGCTTATTTAAGCCGCTTGAAAAGAGCTTACAAAGGCAAAATTTTTCACATGGGAAGAGAAAACTATAATTGTAGCGGTCATATCGATAAAACAGTATAATTATAGATGTACGTATTACAATCTAATTTTAAAAATGTCTAAATCAGAGTCAGCAACCGACCGAGTATGCGATTGTAAAGGCAAGTGCACCACAAAACAATGTTCAGGTAAAAGAATGAGAATTGTTTTCTTCGATCAAATATCGTTCAAAACGAGATGGTTGTACAAATATGGATGAATCGATTAAAATTTTTTATCTTTTGAATCACGTATTGAAATGAAAAGATATTTTCCAATAAAAAAAATAGGTATTCTATTGTATTTGGAACATACTTTTCGGTCAGTAAAAAATTATACAAATGATCAGTGTAAATATTGAATGACCAGTACTAAAATGGTTAGATTTTTATGTATAAGGATTAGTAAAATTAATTAAATTTAATCAATAGAAATGAAGATTTGATCAGCAGGCGAAAGAAGTTTTACTCGTATAAAGATTAATTAGGTACACAAAAATATATTTAAATAAATAAAAAACCACAGAATAAATAAGCTATCTCAAAGAAAATTAGATAGATACTCAACGAATGAAAGAAAATAAAAGTTAAATTATTGTACTAGCAAAGCAGCTTTAACTTTTTGGGTCTGTCTCTTTTTCTTTTCTCACCGGTCGGTGCTGCTTTTGTTGCTGGTGGTAGTTTGCAATACTTCAAACGATTAGTCATATCAACAATGTGTTTGCATATATAGTTCTTCAAAAAAAAACCTTGCACAGTTGGATTTTGATTTTTCCAACCTGAATCATTCTCCATTCCTATGCATCAGATTTCAGATGATTTTTTGAATTGATTAAAAGATGTTCACTTCTTACTTTTATATTTATTTAAATTGACTAGTGTAATCGATTGTAAATCATGAGTTGGTACAGCAGTGAATAAAAGTGTAACTCTATAATTGTTTTATGGATTGGCTTCAAGGCGTTGTTTGTACTTGGTATATATAATTGTACACGTGCATATCAATCATCATCTGATTTCAGCCATTCAGTATCAAAATAATTCAAAAGCTTTAATATTGAGACTATTTTTTTTTGCTTGTTATACATATTCCATTTCTTTACAAATAATCTTGATACTACTTTAAATACAACTGTAGAATTGCCCATGTTGCACGTTTATTCTCACTACCACTGATATTTACCCACATTTCGAAGAATTCAAATTGGCCAAGAAGAAAACAGTTTTAGAATATATTTTACTAATAAACAATGATCTCATAACTCGGACCGACTAGACTCTGTGGATAGTACAGACTGCTCAGACGCATCAACGTTATCAGCCTGCATCGAAAATGACTCAATTCTGTCAGTTTTAACATACTACAAAAGTATTCACTCGTTTTGGATACAATACATCATGATGCAACACTTTAAAACAAGGCGGTATAGGGGAGATGATACTGATCAGTATGCCAGCAATGGTTTCTCGATAGTTATCATATGAGTGATCATTTTAAATAATTTACCGATCTTTTGTTTATTTCACTAACCACTTAAATGATAGTCTTCAGATTTGAATTGTTTTAATCGTATGAATTCATCTCTAGTCGAATTTTAATATTGCCTACAATATACATATGTAAAATAATCATTCCATAATAAATAATTCATTTCTCTTCTTTTCAATAAATGATTCATTGTATAAATAAATACTCGATGTTAGACATCAACATACTTGTTTTTAATGATCATCATCAAGCTTACAAAAACGGCAAACATAAAAAAAAAAGAAAAACAAAACAATACAACTTAGTTCACTACATAGCGTATGTATACAAAAAAAAATGAAACTAAAAAGAATAAAATAACAGATCTCTTTTTTCCCTGTTTTTGTTCTTCTGCACTTCATTCAACAACAACTGATTGATTAACTTTTGATAGATTTTCATCGATTGTTAATTTTTCATTAAGATCATCCTCAAGTGCATCGAGTTTTTCTTCGCTATTTGTTGTCGATGGATGATCATTATCATTATCATTATCATTATCATCATCATCCGTTGTTACGAAATCATGTTGCTGAATTTCCTAGAAAGAATAAAATTTGTTTTTGAATTGATAAATCATTTTCATAAAAGCCATGCAAACATGCACAAGAAAATATAATCAAATAAAACAAAAAAGAAAGAAGAGATAAAACGGTCTAATTATGTATTGTCATGCTCATTGTTTTTTAATTATCATACCTGAGCGGTAAGTCGACCTGCTAATTCCTCTCTAAATTTTTCTTTTGCCCATTGCAAAAAATGAGCTGTATCATATGTCGTCGGCTGATAGATAATATTAATATTTTATGTTAGGTATGGTTTTTTGTTTAAATAACAAGAAAAATATCTAGCAAATTCATACTTACTTCTTTATTTGATTTATTGTCAATTGACTCAACAAAATTATTATTTGTAGATGCTAATCGTTCATCAACAGCTTCTTCTAATTTAAGTTGTTGTTGAAGTTTATCAATTGATTCGATAATATTACCTTAAAAAAAATATCTTTGAGTATAAAAACAAAAAAAATAGATTTTCTTTCTAGGCATTTAACATACTATCAGTAGTTGACACATTAGATGGTGGATTAACAAAATCATTAATTGACATATCATCTAATGTTGATTCTTTTAAATTCATACTTGTAGATAATGAACTATTTCCACTATCATCAACAATTGTTCTTTTAGCATCAGTGTCCAATGTTGATTGTTTTGTTCCTATTAATTCAGTATTATTATCTTCCCACCATTCTTCAATAATATCAATACCACTAGAGCCATTGATTTCATTGTTATTATTACGATTATTGTTTATATTACGTCGGTTTATGTTTGGTCGATTATTTAAATCATTTCGTCGTTGATAATTATTATTATTATTATTATTATTATTATTATTAAAACCATATTGACGAGGATCATATAATGATAATGGAAATTGATGTTTATCTTGATGGTATGCACGTTGTTGGGTTGATCGTCGTTTTTGATATGATGCTCCCCAATGATTATTATTATTAGTAGCAGTAGTATGTTTTATATTATCATTTTCATTTAATGAATCATCTGTCGTCATATAAGCAGAAAGCGGAAGACTAGTATTATTATTATTTATATTATTATTTCGTTGATAACGATTATTGTTTGATGAACGAAAAAAATTATTATTATTATTATTGTTATTATTGTTTGATTGTTGATGTGATGAAAAATCATAAAATGATTGTGGTCGTGATTGAAAACGATGATCATTATTAAAACGTGAAGATGACACGTGATGAGTATTTTGTAAACGTTCAAAATCACCTGACATTGGCCTTTGTTGAAATAATTTATTTTCATGATCGTGAGGTTTTATACGACGAATATTTGATGAAAAATCTGTTGATAAATTTTCTTGTTCTTGATAATTATTCGATGTTGATGATACAGGCACTGATGGTTGAAGAAGTGGAGATTGAAAAATAGGTGATGATTGAAATGAAGGTAAATGAAATTGATGTTGATTAGAGTTTTCAAATGTACGAGCTGAATGATATTGATGAAAATGTGTTGTTGTTTGAGATGAAGTAGAACCTGTTGTCATAGATGGAGTTGAATGAGCGAAATAAATAGTACCATTACTATTGACTGATGATACTTGAGCTGGAGATGGATAAGCAAAATTATGAATATAAGCAGATTCTATATAATAAAACAAAACATTGATATTTTTTGTATTTACTTTTAAAACGATTTTCTTACGATCTATTTGATCTTCACTCGTATTAACAAGATGATCCATTCCTGTATGATGACCATTTATATTGGTTGGTAAAAGCTGTACAGACATTGGACCATTTTGCCAAATCGGCATTGGTGGTACATCAAGATGGAATTCATTAGCTCCTCCTGTATGCCCATTATTTGGTATCGTACATCGACGCATTCGTTCTATAAATAAATCAATAATATATGTATATATATATGTATATGTGTATCATCAATTAAAGGCAATAAGAAGACAGCAATTTTACCTTCTCGTTTATGTTGCCCACGTTCTTGAGTTCGTTGTTGTTGACTGAATCTGCCACTACCAATTCGATCAGCTTAATTATAAAAATTTTAGATTTAATAAAATAAAAAGAAATATATTTGCAAACGAACATGCAACGATTAAGTTAAATATAAGTAAATAAAATATGAAACGAAGTTTTTTTTTTTCTTTTTTTAAAGATAACTTACTTATCGAACGCTGTTCTATTGATTCTAATCGAATCGATGATCTATACCGAAGTGTGCATTGCTTCGTTCCACTTACTACTCTTACTGATAATTTCAAAATGTGTTTATGTATATTGTATTATTTTCCTATTCTCTATTCTTTTCGTATGTCCATAAAGATAGTAAAGACAAGAATGTACAAATTGATCATCCAGTTATATCTAACATGCATCTTTATATATATATATGTCGGCGTCCAAACTGAGATTACGTCCAATCTCAGATTGGCTTAGACGAATGTCGGATCCGACATTGGACACGTCCAATCTCGGATTGACGCAATTCTATTCACTAAAATATCAATTACTCTTTAGATAGACGTTGGATTCGAATTTGGTTTTCGGAGTTATGTTCAGATAATGTCAATTTATTTGGCACAATTGTCATTTGGTAGATTTTAGTAAAATTTTAAGAATTATGAATAAATTTCTAGAAAACAACAACTTCGATGAAAAATTTTTATTCAATTTTTGAATCTAAATTTCGCTTCTTCCTAAATGCTTGTAATACTTAAAACGGCAATGTGCGAACATAATTTCAAAAAATAGTTCGAATCCAACGTCTATCTAAAGAGTAATTGATTTTTTGGTGAACAGAATTGTGTCAATCCGAGATTGGACGCGTTCAATCTCAGATCCGACATTCGCCTAGGCCAATCTGAGATTGGACGTAATCTCCGTTTGGACGCTGACATATACATCATCGAAGAGTTTCATTGTATTCAGGGACATTCTATCTGTTGATTTGCAAGCATTCTCAATTCATCATGCAATATGCAATTAAGAATAAAATAAATTAGCGAAAAAAAAGCAGCATCTCATTAAATAAATATGATATACCTTTATTGTTAACAATTACAAGTTTTTTTGCATGTGCCGGTTCATCGATATCTACAAATGCAATTAATTTTATACTAGTTTTCGTATTTTTTTTTCAATAAAATGAAAAATGATAGAATATATTATTGTACCATTATTATTTTCTGATTGATAATGGAATGAATGTGCATATTTGAGTAATTCTGCATTGTTTGAATTATTATTTTGTTTTTGATTATTAACTTCCTGAGCACGTTCACGTTTTAAACGATTATAATCAACACGTTGAGCGCGTTGAGGTTGAATATCATTGTGGTCCTTTAATTTGAATAATAAAATTATTCGAAATTATAATAAAATATTTTTACATTTTCATATTTTCGTCTTATGGGAGGTCGATACTTTCGTTCATGTTGATTTTCCTATGAAAAAATTTATTTTATTTATAAATAATATACGATTAATACTTGAGAATTTTGTTGATTTATTGGTATTCGTGGTTGATTTCTTGTTGTCTATGAACAAATAAGTGAACGTACATTTATAAATCCGTCTTTTTAACTTACGCCTCTCATAGCTTTTCTATCTTTTATAGTTTCACTAATCGTTGTTGTTGAAGATGATGCTCCTAATTGTGCGGCAAGTTGTCGGTCTTCTTCGATTTCCTTCAATAGAAAATTATTAGAAAAAGATACTCGAATATAAAATCACAAGAGAATTCTTGTCTAGCCTATACTCATTTATAGTACAGATAATACACAATATACAAAGAGAAAAATTATGTTATGGTAATAGGAAGAACGAGCTGAAAAAACATTTTTCCAGACAAGCAATCATAATTATTCCTGATGTATATCGTACTTTCATAACGGTCGTTGTAACTCTATATCCTTCGTTCTATATGCGCGCATGTTCTTTATTATAAGCAAGAATCGACAGAAGAGAAAGACATTGTCAAAAAATTTCTCATTTATTGCAATGACATTCGGGAGAATATAGAACACAAAAAAGAAAGAATAGGCCCTTTACTCGATAAATATCAATCATCAATCTCTTCTTCGTTCTTTTGCTTTTATACACGCTTCAAATAGACAATTTATGTATATTCAAGTGCAAACCTTATGACGCTTAAGTAATTCCAAATTTTTGATGCGCATCTCAACCATTTTTTGGTCAATTGCCGATATAGATGTGATTTTATCCATCAATTGTGTCTATTCAATAGATAGATATATAAATGATCTAAAGTAGAAAAGATTGTGAAATTACAATATACTTACCATAGACAATATATTCCTATACACTTGAGTGTTTATATCATTGATTAGAAAATGAGGATTGACAAGGCCACCAAAAAAAGCGATGGGCCAATTTACCTTGCAAAAGAAGATGTACGCTTAAAATTTGTATTCCATTTATATGCATATTAGTTACAGATGATTGAAAAATTTTCATATTCATCGACCTCAATCGTTTTTTTTACAACTACTAGTTGCTCGCCTGTATAGGCAAATATGACAAACGTTTTTTCGATTCCGTGATACAAATGTGAGAAAAATCGTTTTTTATGGTTAATGTATGCATGCATACAGCTGACGACAGGCGACAACAACTACATCGATAGTTACTGAGATCGGAGTGAATCTTACTTTTGCATCTCTTTGAAATGATGTACAACAGATAAGATATGTGAGTCTGTATATATACGTCTATATGGCAATATGGTTAACAAACAAGAAAGAGGAAAAAGAAAGTGCCACATCAGAACAATCTGCTACTCATACTAGCTAAAACCAATGAGAAGAATGTGCTGATGTTCTTTTTTTTGGAATAGATAAATGAGAATATCAACAGTCAACACTCAAAATTACTCATTGCTTTTTTGTTTGATTAAATCATCATAGACTAGAACATTGTGTTATATAAAGAATAAACGAAACAAAAATGTTTCTTCTTTTTCTTTTTAGTGTGTATGTACATACTTGTATGAATGATTGATGAGAACAGTAAAGTGTTACATTGAATTATATATAGTCAATAAACACAAGACGAGATCTACTATCTTTCTTCATTGTGTCTTCTTTCTATAGGCATGCAAACAAACACGAATGAAAAGTATAGTCAGCTGTTGCTTGTTCTTTGCCTTTCTTCATACGAAAAAATACAGAAATCTCTCGTTTTTTTTTTATCTTTATACAAAGCATAATACACACAAATACATAAAGATTTATATTCGAGGACAAAAAAGATTAAATTCCACTACGAAATGGTGTATTTCTTTTTGGTGTAGATTCTGTTTGTATACGATTAAATGGAGTAACAATTCGATTTCTTATTGATGGTGTTGAACCTGCCGCAAGAGCTTCTTCTTTCATTCGATTTAGTTTTTCTTGTGCAAGACGCATTTCTTCTTCCATAGTTAATTTTTCTGATGTTTCTTTTCGTGCACGTTCACTACGAGTTTTAAGTGAATCTTTAAGACTAAAAAACATTGGTCCAAGTTCAGCAAGCCAATGACCATCAACACATGTTACACATTGCATATATTCCTTTGAAATAGAATAAAAGCAACAAATAAAAACAAAACAAAAATCTTTTAATTTCAAACATACTTTTGTTGTCATAATAAGTTCATGATAAACAATATAATCAGGTGTAAATCCACAACCAAACAATGCACTAGTTGGATGTAAATGGCATGGCATACCTGTACGTAAATTAACATATTCTCCAATACCCTTGAAAAGAAAAACAATTTTAAAATAAGAATCTTAAATAGAAATATATAAATACTTTAAGTCTAGCTGCTTGATGAAAATAGGCAGCACATATACATTTTCGTACAATATCCCAATTTCCACATGATTTAACATCTAATTTTTGTGAATCCATTATATCTTTTAATTGTTGTCGAACTTCTCGAACTTTTCTCATAGCTTTAACATGAATAAAATGATCAGCACACCAATTATTTGAATATCCACTTTTTTTCCATTGTATATAAACATGAAGAAATGTTAAATGATCACTTTCAGCAACTTGAAATTTTTCACGTTTAGCATCAGATTCTTCTTCTTTTCCTTTTGGACGAAAAAATATCGATGGTACAGAAAGCATTGATACAATTATCTCAAAAATTAAAATGAAAACTTTAATTTAAATAATAACAGAAAACAAAAATGAAAACTTACAAGAATTTCACTACTACAACTCATATTAACAGAAGTTATTAACATTTGTGATAATGCGGGATCAAGTGGAAATTCAACCATTTGTCGACCTAATTGTGTTAATGAACCTGTATTATCTAATGCACCTAATATCCATAATTGATACATTGAATTCATTAAGTTATCCTAGAGGAAAAACAACAATGATTTATATTGTGTTTTTAATATAAAAGAATGATTACTTGTGGTGGTGGATCCATAAAATGAAATTGTAGAAGATCTTGTATACCAAGTGATTTAAGTAAAAGGACAACATTAGCTAAATTAGTTCTTTGAATTTCAGGTACATTTGTTTTGAGCATTTCTTCACGAAAATTACGTTCTGTATACAAACGAAAACATTGCCTGGAAGGAAAAAAGAAAAGTTGCACAAAATGGTATGATATATTTAACAATTTGAAAATGCAATTAATTCGAAGATGATCTTATCATGTATAAATATTAGAGTATTTCTATCAGAAGTATCAACAAACAATAACAATCAATAGTATCATTATCAAAATTTTTATCACAGAGAGGTTAAACTAGTCAGGCAGTATACGGTGAGGAGAGAAAGTTTTAAATTTATGAGAATTCTAAGAGATGCAGCTCGATTTGGTAGAAGACTCTAGACTTCGATGAGAAGAGAGTAGATTATACACTTCTTGGCTACGCAACTACGAATCATAGTCTAAATTGATTGAATGTCGAAACTAGATAACATCGTAAAAGTACAATAAATACGAATATTAGAGAAATGTTGGATAACAAAATTAAGAATACTGCTTCTTGGTTGTTTTGATCCTTTCTGATGCTCTGAAAAATCTTGATTCTCCATAGGATCGCATTGTGACTCCTGTGAAATCTTCTCTGATTAGACTAAAGATTTGTATCAGCGACTTTCGCGAATATTCTTCATAGGTGAAATTGATGGCTTTTGTTTTTGATGTATCTATTTGGATCCGAAGCGAAAGATATCTTCAAAAAACTATTCAGTTCAATCAGACAGAGCCTGATGGAAGTCATAATTTGATCAGGTATAATTTCGTATAAACTAGAATTTCCTCGAAGAATATCGAACAATTTCCGGTTATGTATTCCATTCGACAACTGGAAATGTCAGAAAAAAGTGGAGGCGGTACCCTTAAGTGAGATTGTTAATAGGTTAGAATTCCAAATGTTTGCTCTTTATAGAAGATGCATATTCAACAGAAGATAGTATCATCTTTATTTGTGGTAATAAAAAAAAACATCTTACCCTGGTCCTGTTCGCCCAGCACGACCCATTCGTTGATTAGCATTTGCTTGACTAACTGGATAAATTTGTAAAGCATCCATACCAATACGTGGATTATATACTTTTAATTTACAATAACCTGAATCCACGACATACATAATACCATCGACTAAAAGAAAATATCAATGGTTTAATTTTAAAAAATTTCATTTTATATACCTGTTAGTGATGTTTCAGCAATATTTGTAGCAACAACACATTTTCGAATACCATCATCAGCTTTTTGAAAAATTTTTGCTTGTAAATCACTGGGTAATTGTGAATAAATTGGTAAAATACTTAATGGTTTAGCGCCTTCAAGGTCATTTAAACGTTCTACAAAAAAATAACAAAATTCATATTAGAATATAGTATAAAATAAATTTCATTCTATAAACCTTTGATTACTTCACATGTTACTTCAATATCTTCTTGACCAGGCATAAAAACAAGAATATCACCTTGAATAAATGTTTTAAATAAGATTATTATAATTATTATTCAATAAAATAACTAACCGTCACTAGCACCCAAATGTATTTGAATAGATTGTTTAACAGCAGCATCAACATAATCTTCAACACAAGCTTTACTAAAGAATGGTTCAACTGGAAATGTTCGTCCTGGTATTATAAAAATTGGTACATTGCCAAAAAAATCACTAAACTTTTCTGAATCCATTGTTGCTGACGTAACAATTAATTTTAAATCTTGTCGACGTGAAACAACTTCACGTAAAAGACTTTTGAAAAGCAAAAAGACAATAGTTTTTAAATTATTGTAAAGAAAAATATATGCTTTACCCAAAAAGAACATCTGTATTTAAACTACGTTCATGCGCTTCATCCATGATAACAGCTGAATAATGATCAAGATCAGGATCTGTTAAACTTTCACGTAATAAAATACCATCTGTCATATATTTAATAAGTGTTTTCTAATTGAAAATAAAAACAAAAACAAAAATGTTAGAAAAAGTAATTCGAAAAGTATGATAATAAAACTTACGTCTGATGTACAATCTTCAAATCGAATAGCATATCCAACTTCATCACCGAGTTTACATTGCATTTCTTCAGATACACGTTTA